CTCGACCGCGAACTCGGGGCGAACTGGTCGAAGCAAGTACGACCGCCCCGGTTTTTCACGAGCATCTTCTTTCTCTTTCTTTTTGTATTTTGTGTACATGAGTGATAGAAAGAGAGAAAAAGAGTATGTGTATTGGTTATATGCGCGCACTCATCCTACATATGCCACTACTATCGCATCATCACCACTACTACTATTGCAACTGTTAGTACTACTGCATACTACTACTACACTACTACTACTACTACTGCTACTACTCTACTACTACTACTACTACTGTATATTACTCACTGCTACTACACTACACACTACTACTGTATATTACTACTCTACCACCACCATCATCATCACTACCACCACCACCACCACCTCCACTTGCTTCTGCCTCTGCCGCCGCCGTCAAGCAGCAGCATTCTAAATTTGAATCCCCTCCGAGAGGAGAAACAGTAGTGTCCGCGAGTTGCGCGCGTTACGACGTCGTATCAACGTCGTCGTCGTTCTCGTCGCCGTTGTCGTCGTCGCCGTTTACGTCGTCGTTGTTGTTATCTTCTTTTTGAAGAGGTTTCTCATACTTGAAGAAATATATATATATATATTTGTAATTACATATTATATATATATATATATAACAATTATTATAAACAAATATCAATATTTGATTTTTGAAATCAAGAGAAAAAAAAACAGGATTCCGCTTCCTCTCGTATTCTACTCTCTAGTCAAACCTAGTCGATTTTATTTAAATATTTCTTTTTAATCGTGTGTCCTCACTTTTAACCGTCTCATATTATTATACCCGTTCATTTAATTTTTTCTTTTTTATACGGAAATATACAAATGAACAAATTCATTGAAACATTGTTGTGTCAAGATCTTGGATCTCGAAAAGTTCAGTGATGATAGGAGAATTGTTTGAACTCTCGTAGATCCAAATGAAGATGAGGAATCTTCAGGGATCGAGGATCGAATAGAGTTGACGCCACCGTTCCCTCTTGCTACTACTACTACTACTACTTTTGTTTCTCATATGTGAAAAAGAGAAGGAAAAGAAGAAGAAAAAAAAGGAAGGAGAGAAGAATAAGAATAATAAGAAGAAGAAGAGGAGATCGACGGACGTGAGAAAGAGAAGGAGAGAGAGAGAAAGAGAAATAAAAAGAAAAAGAAAAAGAGAAAGAGAAAAAGAAGAAGAGGAGGAATTCGAACGTCGTGCCAAAGGGAACACGCAAAGGCGCGCGTTGTTCCCTCTCTCTCTCTCTCCCTTCCTCAACAGGCCACCCCCTTTCTTTCGCGTACGTGTCGCGTGCTCTCGCGCATGTCTTCTTCATCCTCCTCCTTTTCCTTCTCCTCATCCTCCTCATCCTCCTTCTCCTCCTTCTCCTCTTTCTCTTCTTCGTCATCATCCCATCGAGAACTTTTGTTTTGATCTTGAAGTCGCCATCGGCGGACACAGAAGTCCATCCGGCTCGCGTTAGGTAGAAACGTTAGCGAGATTTAAACGTGAGAGGGAAAAGAGTGAGAGAGAAGTGTGGTATATGTATATAATACACCTAGTGGGGAGAGAGAGAGATATCGATCGTGGGACCATTGACGTCCGTTTCTGGAGAACGCGGCACACGAAGAGACGTTAAGGGTGCTTTTCGCCAACCAACCAACCCCCTTTTACGACCACTACCACCACCACCATCTCTACCACCACTACTACTACTACTATCACCTTCACACTACTACCAGTACTACTATTACTATTCTACCTCGTTCCTCTTTTTTTTTATCTATATCTTCTTTCTCTCTTTGACTTACTTCGCTGTGAATTTTACGCGCGAATCTTGTTCAACGAGAGAGGAAACCTCTTAGTGAGTGAGAGATAGATTCTGGGGTAAAGGAGGACTCCTTGGGAGGATGCAACCCGGCTTACGTGTTTTAATATTTTCACGTGATTTTCAACAACATCTTCGGCATCGTAATCGTCTCACTTCTGACAATACTATTTCTACTACTACTACTGCTACTATTACTACTACTACTACTACTACTACTACTACTACTACTACTGCTGCTGCTGCTGCTGCTGCTATTGATACTGATACTACTATTTTTATTATCGCTGTTGCTGCTGCTGTTATTATTATTATTAATATTAACATTATTATCATTGTTGTTACCGTTGTTGTTGCACGACAAAACAGTGCACATTTTCGCGCTATTAGTTTATTTCACGAACGAGCTAAAAGTGTTGCGTGTTACTATTCGAGTTTTTTTTCCAACGTTAAGGGGATGATCGTTACGTGATCAACGAGATCCAACAATTAAGGTGAGTCCGATCGGGATTTTTACAAATACTCGTAAAGATAGATTCTTTATGATTATTATAATAATTATTATTATTATTGTTATTATTTTTTGTTTTGTTTATAAAGTTCACTTTTCATTGGACTGGGCAATATTTTAAATGAGATTCGTTTGAAGAATACTTGAAATATTTATCTTAATAAAGATTAAGGGGGATTGTGGATGAAAAAGGGATTTTATATAGGGATGATTCTTGTTAATAGAAATTGATCTTCGACTTTTGATGAAAGCAGGTTAATGAGTGTTGTATCATTAGGAAGGTATTTTTTTTTCTTTTTTTTTTTTTTCTAAAAAGCTTTCCCCCTTTGTTCTCTTTCTTTTATAGATGTGCGAGTAGTGTGTTTGTGTGTATGCATATACACGTTTATAGATCTCCAGTGCATCTTATTTTTCCTAACATTTTAACCGGCGGATGAATGTTTCCTTTGAATGAAACTATGCCTTCGTATTTTTAAATTTCTCTTTTTTACTTTTAATAATATATAAGATTAGAAAAAAATTACATTTTATTTTATAATTTTAAATTAAAAAACAAAAAGAAATGAACAGAAAAATGAGCAAATGTAATAGTATTTAAACGAGTTAAACCATCCTATCAAAGTTTACGAACATCAGTCATTTAACTTGGCCTTGCATTGTCGATGATCTATTAGATCATAACAGATCCATGATCTTTCAACTTTAAATTTGTTAAATATTCATCAAATTTAAATACAGTAATATATGTGTATACACACATTTATATACAGTAATATAATGTATACACCATACATAAATGTATACCCATACATTATATGGGTCAATCATTTTATCAAAGTTATATGAAATATTAGTAGTTTATCAAGGATCCTCTGAGATTAGATCATTATATATCGTAAACTTTCAACTTTAAATACATTCATTACAATTTGAATAAATATCATAATATATATATACACACACACACACACACAAAATAAAGAAAGAAAAAAAAACGTGTATATTTCTATAAAAATTTTTATAGATCATTCGTTTAACTTGTCCTTGGGTAATCAATCATAGTCTCGATCATAATAGATCCCAGCAAGATCATTATAAATTTCAAATGTTAATATTAATAATGAATTTATTAATGAATTAATGTATCTCTCTATATCTCTCTGTGAATATCTAAACGAATTATTATATATTCAAAAGGAAAACAAAAAAAAAAAAAGAAAGAAAGAAAGAAAACAAATCAAAATGATAAAATAAGTAAAAAAGAAAAAAAAAGAATAAAGTAATTGTATTTAATCGTAGAGTAATGTAAGCGTTTGTACACTGTTACATATACATTTAATTCAAACTAATTTATGTATATATATATATAATTCATCTTATTATTAATTAAATATTTGAGTTAGAAAAAGTAATATTTAAAAAAAGAAAAAATATTTGATCATCTCAATCGTGGTTGAGTCCGTGAATATACAAAAACACCACCTTCTTATAACTATACTAAAATCACGCATACATTGAAAGTTTTTAACGAAGCGTCGAATGTCGCGACGAATTCAAAGAGGGAGGATGATGGCGACGATGGTGACGGGGTTTTTCGTTGTTCGTCGTCGTTGTCGTTGTCGTCGTCCTCGTCTTCGTCGTCTTGCATCGTGTGTTTCTTGGACGACGTCCAGCTTTTTCTGGTATCTCGAGTAAGACTTGCACCGATTTGACGACGACGGTTTGCTTGCCCCCTTGATTCTTTAATGCCACGATCCCTAAGGGAACTATTCGCTTGGCTTCGAATCAACGAAAGACAACACATACACACATACGACATACGAAACAAACAACACACTTGCATAAACACTTAAGTCTTCACTCACTGTTGCTGTTGTTGCTGCTGCTGCTGTTTATACGATCAAAATCAACGAGATATTCCGATTCTCGTGATTTGGAAACAATCTAAACGATAGTTCTTTTTTATTTCTTTTTTATTTTGTCCGTTTTTACTTGAAACAAACAAAAAATCTATGGGATAAATGAAATTAAACCTTAATAAGATATAACACAATTCATTTGGTTATTATTGTTTGAACGATCCACGATTTTTTTCGTCTGTCTGTCTGCCTGTCTGTCTTTCTTTATGTTTCTTTTTTTTTTTCTTTATTTCTTTCTTTCTCATCAAGAATTGAAAATCTTGCCTTGAAGTAGAAAAGAATTCTAATCGTTTGCGCGTTGAAGTATCATCTGTAATCCGAAGAACAAGTAGTAGAACGATTGAACGTGAATCGTAAAGCAAACGAGCTCGTGAGAAAGTCCTCCTTAAAAATTCTTGATTACTATGTCATAACTTGTCCCTCTCACTCGTTCACTCATTTTCACTCACTCATTTTTGTCGTTTAACACGTTGACTGCCACGCGTGTTTACAACAAAATCCCCGTCAGGCCACCCGTGCCACTGTAAGATGCGTGCTCTGCTACCGCATGTCTGTTTACATTTCTTTCGAAATGAAAAAAATGAATGAATAATGAAATGAATAATGAAAAAAATGAATAATGAAAAAAATGAATAATGAAAAAAAAAGAAACCCCGATATCTATTACGATCCTCATTTATCACGTTATTACTCTCACTCAAATGGAGAGACACACGTGACGTGAGAATATTATCTACGAAACACGCTCCTATCATGACACAAAGCACGAAAAACATTCATGCTGCTTCTTCAAGCCGGCAGCCATCCGCAAGACTCAAACCTCTGGCCGTCCTCGAATATAATAAGGGTAAATGTGGTATAGATTATTCAGACCAAATGGTTTCCTATGCTTCGACGATGAGGAAAGGAATCAAGTGGTATAGGAAGCTTGGTGTTGAACTTCTACTGGGGACGTCAATTGTAAACGCTTTGGTCGTTTACAAAATTGCGACAAAGAAAACTGTAAATATTAGACGATTCAGAGAACTGATTGCTGCAAAGTTACTAGGACTGAGTGAAGATTTAACACTGCCTTCTGTTCGACGAAATACGCATTGCATCGCCGTTCGCAGAAATAATTTGGGGAAAAGCCTTAGACGCGCATGCAAGCGGTGTTACGCAAATAAAAGAGAAGAACTGGAACGATCAAAGGCACGAGCAAATCTCAGAAAACTCACTACTTTTTGTCCAAGCTGCCCTGGTCAACCGCAACTTTGCAGTGAATGCTTCAATATTTTGCACTGTAAATAATTTTGTTAATAAACGATTTTTAAAAAAATTCAACAGTATTATTATCTCCTGTCATATATTTATCTAAATATGTTCGGAAATCCTTTGGAAGGAGTCACCCGACGTGGCCTGATGAGAACTCTTGCTGTCACCCGAATACGGGTGACGTGGCCTGATGAGAACTTTTGCTGTCACCCGAATACGGGTGACACGGCAGTTAACGTGTTAATTTGACGAAGATTTATATTTTTCTTTTTTTTGCGATATCTTCCCAACTTTCAGATATTTCGAGATAAAATGCTTTATCGCACGTGTGAATATTTGCATAAGTATTAATTATTAAATCAATAAGTAAATTTGACTCTTCGTGTCTCTCATATCATTTTATTTATTTATATTTATTGACAAATTTAATAATTCCTTTTAAATTACTGATAAAATTGTAATATTTATTTAAAATATCTTTAGTAAATATTACATTTTTTTTCTTTAATATTTCATCAATTTGTTACTGTTTTTTTTTTTTTATTAAAAAAATAATTTACTACCATACACTATGAACGATGTCAATCCTCCAACGCATGAAGTTCACGAATGTGCATAATAATTACAAACATCCCCGTTATTTTATTATATTTATTGACAAATCGTATAATTAAATATATTATTGCACAGAAAAATTTTAATATATTATATTTTATATAAAATAATTATTTAATTTAAAATATTAAAAAAAAAAAAATAAAAAAATATGAAACAATATTGAAGTATCGTAAATTTCTATATACAACAACAACAACAACAAAAATGATCAATTAAAATTTGTATGAAATTAAATGATCGTTAAATAAAAATATGAATTAATCATTTTGAAATTTATACGATGAAAAGTTAGGATGAAAAATACTATCCTTCGATCGTCATTCATTAACTTACTTGTTAAACGACTCAATACTAAAAACGAGGTCTCGGTGGCACGCGAGTGGATGCAAATTTTTCTTACACCAACCAACCAACCTCCTCTAACTTTCTAGTATCTATATCTCGAGCCGTAAAGTCAAGGTTTTGCATGTCGCCTCGTTTTCGCGTGACGTAGACACCGGGCTTTGCCTTTTCTAAGTTTTCGATCCTTTGAAATCCATTTCGTAGCTATAATACACCCCAACCATACACATATATATATATATGATAAACATACATATACATTCATAGTAGGGTGGGGGGGGGTAGGTTTTAGAATTTACGTCGAAACTTGTCCGATCGTGATTTCTTCTTTATATATTTTCTGCTTTTGTTTTAATTTTTCTTTCTTCCTTTTTATTTTTTTTTATTTTTTGGTTGTTCCTTGTTGAAACGATAATTCCCATCCAAATGAATTTCGTTTACGTGTTATTCTTTTGATATGTTTTTCACGAAGTTGCAACTAAGGCGCAATATATCGTTTAGATTAGATTAGAGTGTATATTTTACCATTTCTTCTTCTTCTTTTTTTTTTTTTGTATTTTTTTCTTTTCTTTTCTTTTCTTTTCTTCTCTTGCGATTTGATTTTATTATTCGTTTAGGAAAAAATAATAAAATATATATTTTAAAAATCTTAGAAATACTTAGTAGATTTATTTATTAAAAACGTTTGATTTTTCCTATTATCGAAGTTACAACAACGGTTGTTAAAGGAATAAGCTACTCGTTATCGATAACCAACGAAGCGTTCTTGTAATAGTGGATCTTCTCCTCCTCTTCTAAGTTTTCGTATCTCTAGCTTATTTCTAGGAACTCTTGACGATACGCTTCTTTAACGAAAATTACATTTCCGCTTATTAGATCTGTTCGTTTGACATCTCGTATTCTTTCGTTAATAAGTTTATTTTTTACTTAGAGAAATAATTATTTTTCTTTATCAGTTTAGATGTTTGAGTTTTACTCAACTTGAGTTTTACTAGTTGAAAAAAAAAAGAAAAGGAAAAAACAAAATTAACAGGAAAATATGTTACATTGATATATCGATAACAGAAAAATGTATTAGATTTAGGAAAACGATTGAAGATTAAGAACAAAATCATTCCTTTTTATTTGTCCAATGATTTTCATAAAAAAAAAAAAAAAATAACTGTACCATCTACATAATTAAATATCATAATTAAATAATAGCCAACATTTTTAAGAAATAAAAAAATACTATAATAAAAAAATATAAATTTAAGATAAAAGATCATGATTTCTTCGTTGACCGAAGGAACGATCAAAACGGATGATTTTTCATGCTGAATTCTAACAGCATGAAAAAAATAAAAAAAAAATAAAAAAAAAAAGAAAGCACAAGGAGAGTAAGTTGGTGCAGGTCACCGAGCTGGTCGCTGACCCTCACTCGCTTGCAAGCTCTTGTATAATAAACCAAATTCGATCGTATGTCTGACGACGTTGGTAGTAGAGAAACTCTTCCTAGATCTCTCTGCGGGTTTACGCGTTCTATCGAAACAGAAGAGAAAGAAACAGAAAGCATACAAATATATATATATATATATACATTCGCAAATACAAAAAAGATATATAAAACACACGTGTACATTTATACACGCACGTTGTATACGCAAGTATAACACAAAGTAGAAAATGTTGAGCTACTTCCTACACCCCCTTTTTTTTTTATCAACCATACGTTTCTTTCCCTTTGATATCATTGTACACAATATATTATAGTATATACATATATATATATATATATACTTTAGTATCGAGCTAAAGTACCTTGGTACCTTCGCCTAGATACGTCGTCTAGTAGTAGAGCTAGCTCACTTATACTTCCATAGCTACGGATTAGCGTATTTATAATGCATTTGCAAGCGTATCTTATATGTTTGCAGTAACGATGTTATCCAACGAACCAAGTACTACATACGTACACGCTCATTTAGACTTGCTAATATTCTAGCACACTCATTTTCACCTTGTCAAGCATTTCCATCTTTTTACTTTTTTCGTACCTCCTTTTTATTTATATTTTCTTTTTTTTTTTTTTCGATGATGATAGAAGTGGTGGGTAGTCATGATATTTTTGTTGTTTAACACATTACGTTGATACTCGTAAGATTTTATAGAAATAAGTGATGGAAAGTTTGATTATAAAAAGTCTCTTTCGAAGGGCAAGTGCTTGAAAATATTCATACTTTATTTACTTAAATATAATATATTTATATATATATAAATATGTGTGTGTATATAAACGATAACGGTATAGTTGCCGCGTTTAATGCGCTTTTGAATCGTCCAGTTATCGCGTGCTCGCGATGAATGAAATGCACCCGTTAAATATAGTCACCGACTAGTTAGAATTAGAACGTAGTCTCGAAGCCAAGGAAGGAACGTTTTTATATATACATATACTTAACATTTATATACATATATGTATATTTATATATATATATTATATATATGTGCGTGAATGTGTTCGCGTTCTCGCGGCTGCTACCACCCTGCCAGATGGTCACATATATCGATGTTATATATCGAACGACCGGCTTATCGGCTTCGAGAATCCATGTTTACGTTTGCGTTTTATGCTGACAAGTGCGTATACGATTAGAACGACACATTACATGAGAAAGAGAGAGAAAGAGTTTGCGCGCGAGTGTAAATGTGTGCGTGTGTGTGTGCACGCGTTTGATAGCAGGTCAATTCGTTTTCCTCGTCTACGGGAAGTGTTTCATTATTCTTGTCTTGTTTTTTTTTTCTATTTTTTTTTTTTTTTATAGTAAGATATATATATATATAAGTAGACGTATCAAAATTTTTATCATATATTGAAAAACAATTATTAATCATCATAACGATCATGTTTTTATTAACAGATACGGTTGTTGAACACATAACTTGTACATTGTATTTCTCTTTTTTTGTCATTCTTCTTACTTTATATCTTTGAGAATAATATTATTTTCTTTCTAGTAAATAAAAAAAAAAAAAAATTAAATATGCGCGTGCACTTAATTAGTTCTAATATTAATCGACTATAAATCTCTCACTTGATTTTAATTTATTCATTTAATAGAGGAAATATCAATATGACGTATTGTCGTGTATCGTAATTAATCATATATCGAATATATGATTTAGATTTTGGTTGTATTTTTTCGAACGATCAAAAAATTGTGTTCGTCGTGTCTCTTCTTCTGGCTTTTGATATTTTTTTAATCTACGGATAGATTAAAGAGAGTTCGTCGAAAGAGAGGAGGGAAGGTGGGGGGAGGGGGGAAGCCAGAAGAAGAAGAAGAAGAAGAGTGTCGTTATCTGAGTTTATGTCCAATCAGTAATTGTATCGCATATATTTACCGATTATCCTATCGCAAAAAATATTCCAGAATAATAAATGTGTGATAATTAATTGCCACTTATGTCGGCTGACTATCGCATTCTCACTCTCTCCTCTCTCTCTCTCTCTCTCTCTCTCTTCGGTCATTATTCACTTAACGGTCATTGTTTTTGCTTTTTTATATCGAGGAATCAGTAACACCGTAGTTTGTGCTGACATTTCTTGCTCGAATTCAAAGTTGATTAGCTTGAGCCTGAGAAAGAGAGAGAGAGAGAGAGAGAGAGAGAGAGAGAGAGAGAAAGAAAGACCTTTTTTCTTCTTAGATTAAGATAAATAAATGTCAAATAAACTTCTTTTTCTTCTTATTCTTTCTGTGATTCTTTTTATTTTATTTAGAATGAAGATGAGAAGAGTAGTAGGTGGCTGGAAGAGAGGGGGGAGGAGGAGAGGAGAATTTTGGTTTCGTTCGACTGAGGAAAATAATCGAATGTAACATTTTTCGAGGACACGCAAGAAAATTGTTTCGCGTTACGATCATCAACGTTAACTTCATATTTTATACACACACATCCCCTTTATTAACTTATGCGACCGTGAAATTAATGTCTATATTTATCGGTGTACTTAGCGAGGGAAAAAAAAAGTCCTCGTGAGAGAGAACAAACGACTGGAGGAAGCCTAGCTAACTAACTAACTAGCTAGCTAGCTAGCTAAGCTTGCTTAGCTTAGCTTAGCTTGCTAGCAACGAGCGAGTTTACCTAGCTCCAACTGAATTACCTTGCTTAGGTTGTCGTTTTTTTCTTTTTTCTTTTTCTTATTCTTCAATTTTAATCAATTAACAAAATCCACGACGAAAAAGTTCTCCGAGAC